GGAGGTCCATGCGCGTGGCGTTCGTCTTGGGCCGCAGCTCCTTGTCGAGGTGCCGCATGATGGCCCGGGGGTCGTCCTCCTTTCCCTTGATCAGGGATCGGAAGTGAGGACCCAGCGACAGGCCGATGTAGCCGGCGGTCTGCTGTCGCTTTTGGTGGTACTCCTCGATTCGGTTGAAGAGGTGGACCGCTGTCTCGTCCTGGAGCGCGACCGGCTCCTTGACGTCGTCGAACGCGAAGTTCCACAAGCCTCGAGCTCGAAGTGACGTGGCGATGTGCTCGCGCCACTGCGTGTAGTGCGCGGTGGACTTAAGAACGTATGGGTTTTTGTCGTGTGTGGTCATGGTTAGGGCTGTGGGCCCATAACCTGTTGAGCAGAGCGAGTGTGGACGTGTGGACGAGAGAGGGTAGAAGAAGAGACAGAGTGCAGTGGTGCACTGTGCTCCGTTTTATTGGAGCAGGTGGGGAAACACGTGTTCTTTGTCGTCGGACTCCGACGGGAAAATTCCGTCGCACGCCGAGGGCAGCTCAGCCCGTGAGAAGGTGACTCCTTCTCACACAACACATTGTTGGATCTTCAGCACACTTGGCCGATCACCCAGGCATAGTCGCCGCACACCTTGTTGACGCCTCGGTTGACGCACGGGCAGAAGTAGTGCGTCATCAGGAAGAACAGCATGCCCAGCGGCACCAGGAAGCTCCACAGCGTCCAGAACACGCAGATGAGGATCAGGTCCGCGCACAGGAGCAACAGCACGAGCGCCACGAAGATCGGATAGATCGACCCTGCACGTTGTCACGGTTGATGATGGTGAGCCCTCTGTCCTCGAGAAAGAAGAAAGAACGAAGAAGAAGAGCGAAGGAGGGCGGTACCGCAGATAGTGCGCGAGTACCAGTTGCTCCACTTGCCGAACGAGCCCTGGCATGTCACTGTCGTCGTCGGGAACACCAGCAGACAGCCGGGGCCGCTGCAGTCGTCGGCCATCTTGCACACGCCGCACTCGGCGCACTCCCACACACAGCAGCCCCGTTTGCCCGTCGGCCGCTCAACACAGCATTCGCAGTCGCTGCCGTCATCATCCTGGTGCTGGTTCGCGGGGGAAGAGGACGAGGACGTTGCTGCCATCGCCTGGGTGAAAGTGCGCCTGGCCGGCAGGTCGTCTTCGGCATGGAAGGACGGCGGCGACGACGCCGACGAATCTGATGCCGACGACGCCGACGAATTGAGCCCGACTGGCGGAGCTGTGCACACCATCACCGCCAACGAAGGAAGGGTCAGAAGACCAGAGACCACACAGGACTGCGCAAAGCGGTGAGGCGACCGGGCCAGCGTACCGGAGGGCTTGACGGGGTAGTCAGCCAGGTCGATATGCAGCTGCTGGTGCGTGTAGACCGGCGGCTCGTCAGCCGACGATGACGCACGCCGCTTGCCGTACTTTTGGTTGTACCTGGCCACAACCACGCAGATCAGGGGGACGGTGTTACGGACGCGTAAACCCCATATCTCTCTGCACAGAGTTGTCAGACTGTAAGGGGTGTACCGGTCGACGGCATTGCGCAGAGCCCAGTTGGGAATGAGGTTCTCGTTGATGGTGCTCTTGCACACGGGACACACCTTGGTGGAGCCCTGCTGTCGCAGCCACGCCGTGATGGAGGTCGTCGAGAAGCTGTGACCGCACGGCGTAACCATCACCGCGTCCTCCTGTAGATCGATAATTAAAATAATTAATGTAAAAATTTAATGTGTCATTATTTACGGTATTTTTTGACTGCTTATTTAAAATGACAAAAAAATCACAAAAAACAGATTTGCAAAAGGAAGCTGGGGGTACCATGACGGCGAGGGTGATGGGGTCGACCAGCTCCGGCGGGGGCTCGTCACGCGGGTTGTTTCTCTCATTGTCGCTCATGATGGCCTCCTGCGCTGCGCTGCTGGTGTTTATGTTCGGTGCGGCAAGTGGTCTAGCCAAGTCTCGTTTCGTGGCACAAGGACCGGAGTTCGAGCACGTGCTTTGGCTTCGCTGGAGGTTGGGTAGTACGATCAGTTGGTCGGTTCGTGGGTACTTCCCAGTCCTTGGGGTGTGTCCCAGCCAGGAAGGACAGCGGCAGGTGCAGTGCGGGGTTCGGCGAACCAAGAGGAAGAGGCGAGGGCAAGTGTCCTGCTCCAATGGGTCGACAGTGCCGTTGGACTTTGGCCTTGTGGCCCAATGAAAAGAAAAAATATGAGGAAATGTGGGATAAACAAAAAGAAAACAGGTTCTCTGAAGAGTTCGACGGAAAAGCGAGGAGTGTTGCACGAATAGTCAATGAATAATGAGTGACCATGCTCCTGGCACTAGAAATTGAAAGAGAATTTTGGCTTGTGTCTTCCAGTCAACACACGCTCTCAACAACATCAACAACAACAAGCTTCCTAAAGATGAAGGTACCCACAGTTGGCCCGCCCACAAAACAGACGTGATGAGCGGTGCTGATGGTGCCTCGCAGTACATGGTCTGTTTGGATGGGTCGGAGGTGAGCAAGAACAGCCTTCGTCTGGCGCTTCGTCTCCTGCGACCCGACGACGACAGTCTCCTCCTCTTGTCCGTAGGGTATGTCCACACTCTTCTCTCCTTGCTACTGGTTTTGAGCGGAGACATGACGATGGCGGCGCTTTGGTTGATCAGGTACTGGGGGTACGACATCCCCAACGACGAGGTGGACGCGATGGCCCGCCTCGTGTTGAACCAAAGCGAGTCGTACCTCGCCGAGGCCGAAAAGCTGGCACGCGAGAGTGGGGTACGCCAGCAGCGAGCCGATTGGCGCGTGCAGCAGCTGAAGCGGAAAGGCCTGCGTGTATTCACCATTCTGCTTCTCCTCCTCCTCCTTCTTCTTCTTCCTCTTGCGCAGGCCAAGCAGGTGACCACAAAGGCCGTGCTGGGCTTCCCACGAGACCAGATTCTGTTGGTGGCCGAAGAGGAGGTAAGTTCGTTCTTGGCAAACGTGGCTTGTTGTTGAGGTGTTGACTATGTGATGATGGTGTGAAGGGAGTGGAGATGATTGTGATGGGAGCGCGCGGACTGTCGCCGATCAAGAAGCTGCTCATGGGCTCCGTGAGCTCGCATGGTACAACCCTGCACTCCTTGCCTTTTTTCCAAGTCCGTTGTTCGGCACCGCCCCTAACCCGCACCTGTCCTGCCCCCTCTACGCCACAGTGTTGTCCAACGCGGCCTGTCCGGTGCTTGTGGTCAAGTAGATACACCCGGGTGGAGGTGTGGGTGTTTATAAAATTTAAATGTAGTACTATTTTTGTCAACGATTAAGAAGGCAAGTCGACAACGACCGTTCAACAAAGATAAGGTGCTGCAGGTGCTGCTTGTGCTGCTCGCACTGGGCGCCCCTCTGCAAGCCGTGGCAGAGTGCGACGTGTTGAAGAGCAGCATCGCTTCAACGGGTGCGCTCGGCAGTCCCATAACAATACGCGGCCTCCTCCGACTGTGTCACCCAAGTCCACCCTCGAACCCTTTCAAAGTACACTCCCTGACCACCGATAAGGTGGGCGAATCTTACTCTTTAACCCAAGGCCAGCCAATCACGCCTGGCAAGTTAGCAGCGCTCCAGTTCTGGACCCACAACCCGGCCTACCTGGCCTACCAGAACGAGTGGGGCGCCTGGCTCGACCGGCTTTACTTCAACGAGAACCTCGGGTACTTCGTCGACTACACGCGCAACACCGGGCGGGCCACCTTCAACGGGTGCTTGGGCACGGCGCCGTGTTCGTGCTCGCCCAGCCTCTAAAGTGGCGAGATGCATGACGAGGATGATGGCGATAAACAATGTTCAGCTAAAGTGGATTGTTTGTTCGTTCGTTCGCGTGATGATGCGGGTGACTGCCTCGGCGGAAAGGAAGACGGGAACGCTTCCCTGTTCCTCCCCTCCACGCCGCTGCTGACCAGAGCAGCTCTCTGCTGTGTGCCACCGCTGTTGTGCCCCACCCTGTCGACCTTCAGGTCAATTGAGGGGTTTCTTGAGTGTTGGCTGAGTGGGGGTGGTTATAGCTTTGGAGAGGGGCAGCCGGTACCCGTTGAGGTGCGTGCGACACAAGAGTCGTGTGGCCCTGAAATTCGTTGTTCAGAGCCGCCATTTGAGCTTCTCGAAGAAGAGCCGGGACATGTCGCGATAGGTGTAGCTCAGCGCCTTCTCGTAGGCCGCCGTACGGTACGAATCCGCCCGCAGCTTGCTCGCCTGCCGCAGCGCCTCCTCCAGGCTTATACTATATCGTGTGTGTGGGTTACGTGTTAGAGATTGTAGACAGCAGGGGCGTACTAGATGTCGTACCAGACTCTGTTGTTGGTGTCGCCGCTGCGCGTGGTGCTATTGACAAAACTCCCTGGCTGCTGGTCGGCGGAAAGGGCGCTGGACGCGACGCTCGCCGCGGTGGATTCCGATGGGGACGTGGGGGGCATCTCTTCCTCGGGGGCGAAGATGATGCTCACATCGTCCGTCAGCCACTCCTCCATACAACTCAGCGGCGGAGCAATCACCGGCCGGCCTGGCGACATAAAATAAAGAAATAACTTCATCAGCGCAGGCTTGCGGTGCGGCGGCGAGCAGTGCGGCGGAGAGCGATTACCAAATGACAGGGACGTGAGGAGAGTGCCGGAAGAGAGCACCGAGTCCCTCGGATACGGCAACACGACCGCGTCTGCCGCCTGGTGGTCGGGATTGATGTCTGTCAGTGAAAGAACACTTCCGAAGTGGTTGAATTGGGGGGTATCGGGTTGTACCTTGTAGTAGAATTGGAGATCGTCGTCGTGGATGTGGCTGTACTGGGTCTTGATCGCGGGGTTGACGCTGATGGCGGCTTGGATCTGTTGCCACTGGGCGTCCGAATATCGGAGCCGCTCGGCCGTCGAAAGCTCGCCCACGACCCACAGCTGCATCTTCTTCATATCTGCAAAGTGTGTGGAATGTCGTGAGTGTTAGCAGCGAAGCAAATTTTAAAACAAAATAAAAAAAGAGTCAAGGTCTCTTCTCAGTGCAGAACCATGCGCGAGGTACCTGAGGTCACGGCGTTGAATGCCTGCACCAGCTGGGCGAGGCCTCGGTGCCGCTTGACGGACCCGATGTAGAGCAGCACTAGGTCATCGTTGTCGCTGGCGAAGGGGGTGTGGAGGGACAGCGTGCGTCGCGCCAGGGGCTGGGTGAGATTCACGTCGCTGTAGAGCCCCACGTAGCTCCCCTGCGGCACCGTTATCACTTTCTCGGGCGGAATGACGTAATACGGCGCTGCAAAACAATGTTCACACCATGTTAATATCTGTTTTGTGTCGTGTCGTGTCGTGTCGTGTCGTGTCGTGTCGTGTCGTGTCGTGTCGTGTCGTGTCGTGTCGTGTCGTGTCGTGTCGTGATAAGGGTTCACCAGTGTACCGGTGAGGGGAATGGTGTGGGCGCAGAGCAGGTGGATGACGTCGGCCCTGTCCGCCAGGGTCTGCAGCAACTCGATCTGGAGCTGGTGATGCTCGGGCGTGCAGCTGGGATCGATCACGCTGTGCACCGTCCACACGATGTACCATCCCTGGTCTTCGATTCGCTGAAAGAAGTCGAGCACGGAGCGGAGCTCTTGGAAGGCCTCGGCTTCGCCGTCCTTGGTGCAGACCATGGCCACCCAGTGCAGGTGGAACACGTAGCGGAAGTGTTTGCGATGCTGGGCGGGCTCGTAGCCGATGGTGAGGTTCCACATCTGCTGCTTGTTCATCAGCTCCAGTCCGTACTCCTCCGCTCGCGCGTAGAGCCCGCCTTGAAACGGGTCCGAGGTCGTTCGATTGGGGAAGAATCCTGTTCCACACGACACACGACACACGTGAGTACATCGAGGGAATGAGCTGATAGTGAGAGATGTG